GTAACAATTGAATTCTTGAACGAAAAGACTTGAATACTTACATTTACTCTTAGACGCTGATTCAGTCGTTGACAACACCGAATTGACTTGATCCTTCTTGGTACTCGAATCTGAACAGTAATTATCAGCTTTGAAGAAAGTTCATGTCTCACCTCTCATTTCCTATTTTGCTCGAAATGTATGGGACCCTGCAGCCCTGAAAATAGAAAGACACTAACCTGGCACTTAGATGAAGGGCTAACTCCGGCCAACTCGGGACCAGTAGCTGTAACAATTGAATTCTTGAACGAAAAGACTTGAATACTTACATTTACTCTTAGACGCTCATCCAGTCGTTGACAACACCGAATTGACTTGATCCTTCTTGGTACTCGAATCTGAACAGTAATTATCAGCTTGGAACAAAGTTTATGCTTCACCTCTCATTTCCTATTTTGCTCGAAATGTATGGGACCCTGCAGCCCTGAAAATAGAAAGACACTAACCTGGCACTTAGATGAAGGGCTAACTCCGGCCAACTCGGGACCAGTAGCTGTAACAATTGAATTCTTGAACGAAAAGACTTGAATACTTACATTTACTCTTAGACGCTCATCCAGTCGTTGACAACACCGAATTGACTTGATCCTTCTTGGTACTCGAATCTGAACAGTAATTATCAGCTTGGAACAAAGTTTATGCTTCACCTCTCATTTCCTATTTTGCTCGAAATGTATGGGACCCTGCAGCCCTGAAAATAGAAAGACACTAACCTGGCACTTAGATGAAGGGCTAACTCCGGCCAACTCGGGACCAGTAGCTGTAACAATTGAATTCTTGAACGAAAAGACTTGAATACTTACATTTACTCTTAGACGCTCATCCAGTCGTTGACAACACCGAATTGACTTGATCCTTCTTGGTACTCGAATCTGAACAGTAATTATCAGCTTGGAACAAAGTTTATGCTTCACCTCTCATTTCCTATTTTGCTCGAAATGTATGGGACCCTGCAGCCCTGAAAATAGAAAGACACTAACCTGGCACTTAGATGAAGGGCTAACTCCGGCCAACTCGGGACCAGTAGCTGTAACAATTGAATTCTTGAACGAAAAGACTTGAATACTTACATTTACTCTTAGACGCTCATCCAGTCGTTGACAACACCGAATTGACTTGATCCTTCTTGGTACTCGAATCTGAACAGTAATTATCAGCTTGGAACAAAGTTTATGCTTCACCTCTCATTTCCTATTTTGCTCGAAATGTATGGGACCCTGCAGCCCTGAAAATAGAAAGACACTAACCTGGCACTTAGATGAAGGGCTAACTCCGGCCAACTCGGGACCAGTAGCTGTAACAATTGAATTCTTGAACGAAAAGACTTGAATACTTACATTT